TATTCACTAGAGTATTGGCTGAAGGCATCTTCGTTACTAATGCCTTTACGTATTACAACGGAGTATCGCCATACCAGGCACACACTGGACGTCAGCCCTCCTTTCTTCCTGACCTCGACACCCTTGACTTTCCCAAGGGACCCGAGTCATCAAGACACGAACGGGAACGTCGCGTGAGGGAAGTTAGCCTAGAAGCCATAACTCAAGCCACTGCTGTGGCCAAGACAAATCGTGCTGTCAGGGCTAAAACGGCTCCTGATGGTGCTCGCCTTTACTCAGCAGGGGATTTGGTCGACTACCATCGACCCACTGCCACTAAGGACGATCACAGAGGCTGGAACGGCCCATTCCCGGTGATCCGTAACGTGCCTGAAAGAGGACATATTGTTGTCAAGGCAGGATCTCGTGAGGTAATTGTGATGTATCCTGATGCTCGTCACGCGCTATACATTGAATGTCTCCTCACACGGGAATTTGGCATGGATAATATGGCCATGCAAACCGCCCTTGCATATGTGGCACACCTCGGCGCAGGGAAACCTGCCAAAGTCTTCGGCTACATCCCAGATTACAAGGGAAACCTCAATCTTTCAGACGACAGCAAGTTTCACCCGCGCGTACATTTAGCACTACAGTATCTCGTGCGAAATTATTACCGAGTAGAACACGTAGTAGCAGTTAGGTTGGCCAAAAGTGTGTCAAGTCTACCTGCAGTAAAGTGCGCCACCGGGTCTACGCTGATCCACTACGACAACGATATCAGCCCAGCCTTCCACTACTATGTGTGTGTGGGCACTGGCCTGAACATGTCTCAAATCACTGGTAGCACTCATTCCAGACTTATCCAATGCTTGACTTCACGTGTCCCCTCCTCTGGGATTTCACGACGACTTGGCCAAATATCAGCACTCAAGCACCACGTCTGGAGAACACGGCTCGCCTGGAAACAGGCCTCCACCAGAGACCCCAGGTGCTTCATCGCCGAGTGAAGGCCGTCTGTCGACAATCTATGAAGAAAACGAAGAACATACTATCGAAGCTATGACACTGGAAGAGTGGTACGACGAGTTACGTATGGACCTTCATCCCACGACAACTACCGACGATCATCTTTACTGCGTCCCAACAACCATGCTGCCCGACCAATGTGTTTTGGTTTCAGCAGCTGTGGACGGAGAAGATATCGCATTGTCGGAATCGCTCGGAGACGAGCCTGATCCACGAGAGTCCTGTCTAGTCTCTCTCTGCTCAAGCACACCTGATGAGAGCTACTCTCTTGACAGTTTATGAACATGGTCCCTATGTTGAGTTATGCTTTACATCAGAAATGTCAAAGATAGTGTTGGATCAGACTCAACTTGCACAGCTCGACACTGATATGGTCGCAACGATGAGAGTATATGTATCCTCCGCTGCTAAACGTGCTGTGGTAGTCAAGGAAGATGACCTACTCACCAAAGCCGACATAGCAGCACATCCAAAAGAGGTTAGTGAAGCTTTATACACTGAACTCAAAATCTGGATTGATAACCGATGCTTTGAGATGTATGATTTATCCATAGCTTCCAACATCATGACATCCAGGTATGTATATAAGTGGAAGTTTGTGAAGGTGGGTACCGAGAACGTTAAAACCATTCGTCTCAGACTTGTCCTTCGTGGATTTATGGACACCGAGGCTTTCGATGTGGAAACTTTCTCGGGAACCGCCCGAAGGCAGTCCCAGAGACTCCTGGCAAGTGAGGCGGCATGCCATCCAGAGTGGATCTTAGCATCCATGGATATCGATAAGGCGTTCCTCAAGGGTCTGTCCTATGAGGAACTTGCCCATGCCACTGGCGAGGAAACTTGCATGGTCTGCTTCATCCTTCCACCGGGAAGTGCCCAGGTACTTCGTACACTACCCGGCCTTGCATCCTATGACGAAAGCCGACACTGCCTCAGGTGCCTCAAACCAGGAACGGGTACCAAGGACGCCCCAAGAGCGTTCTTTCTGAAACTTCGTACGGCCACACGATCTGTAGGCCTTGCACCCACCAGTTATGACCCTGAATTTGAATTCAGCCAAGATTTGCTAACGGCAAAACATGTCGATGGTATTAACATGACAGGCCTAGAGAACAATGTAGACCACTATGTACAACGTGTCGAAAAGGTGTTTGGCAAATGCAAGCTTAACAAGCACTCATATACGAACTGCGTCGTTCGCTACACCAAGAATGACCAAGGGGGCGTGATCATGGACCAGGACGAGTATATCAAACAACTTCGTCCTATCACACGCCCAGAACTTTCAGGAGCGGCGGCCGATGCCAAAGCCGCGAAACTTATTACCGACATGTTCGTCAGCTTGCGAGGAGCCCTCGCCTATGCCCTTCTTACTCAAATCTGGCCCATGGTATACGTGGTCTCTCTCCAGAAAATCCAAGAGCCCACCAACCTGCAAGTCAGACGACTTAATGCTGTGACGCGAAAGCTGATCAGCTGCCCGAAACGCATCGCATTCCCTCGGATGAAGCCGACGAATGAAGTTGACATACACAGCGATTCGGGGTATCGGAAGCTCACCGGGGAGGAGGATGATGAGACTAAGGGCTACGGCATACGCGGGGCCAATGTACTACGGCGAGGAAACTCGCCTCAAGGCAAATCTGTCGTTCACCTCTGTGACGGACTATGCAAATCACACCGACTGCAGGTGAGGTCCAGCTATGCTGCGGAGGCGCTCGCAGCTGCGCATAACCTCGATGAGTGTTACCCTACGCTCATCACTCTCCACGAGCTCAAGGCAGGAGCTCTGGCTCCACGCCAACTACGAGATATGCGTGAAGTTGGAGGCTTAGCCATTAAAGTATCTCTTACCATAGACGCTGAGTCTGTTTATACATCATTATAAAGCAAGGATCTTAAGATACCGACATAACGGACTCTGTTTGGACATATCACTTGGATACGTGAGCTCATGGATATAGGTACAGTACATAACGTGCAGTGGTGTGATACTAGAGATATGACCGCAGATGGGCATACAAAGGGAAGCATCGATCGGGAGCTGCTTTTGGAAGTGATGTCAGGCACTCAGTCATTCAAGTATGACGTGAAGCAGTTTGTTCCCTTTCGGGGTCCCGAGGACGGAAACAAACCCATGTCTAATCAATTTTAGTCTGTCCTTGTTGCCCCCCGCGGTCCAATTTGCCAGCATGGGCGCCTACTACAAAGGCGCCCTTCTAGTTGCTCGGAAACGAGCCTTACATTTCACGCCTGGCAACGAGCTGGCTTTATATGATTCAGGCTCTTTGCCTTAATACCTGTTTGCTCGGTGAGGTATGGCCCGTTTGGCTTACCTCTAGCTGAGCCGATAGCCCTTCGTCGTCCGAAGGGGCTATCTTGTATTTGCGTGAAATGCTTTGCGAGGAAACTCGCCTTACAGTCTGGTGTTAGGCCAGACTGTACACACTGTTTTCTTTCTTGCAAGCAGTTGTGCGCGCGGCCTTTGTAGAGCCTAACGGCTGCGCGGCTATACTCTCCGTCTCCTCCCCTCCCGACTTTAAGGGTAGCTCTTTGGGAGATGTTATAGTATCGGGAGTATAGCTCGCGCGCCGTTGCCTTTGGCTCAAGGCACGCGCGCCCTATTTGCCCGGACGCCGCGAGTGTTCGCTATGTGCTGGAAAAACCGATACATCGATCTTATCCTATCTTATCCGTCCATTCCTTTTACTGAACAGTTTCAGTACGATACCGCACGCTAGTTGCCATCCGCTTCCCATGGAATCGGATGCTATTTGAGTTACCAGGCTCACTTTCGACTGAGGAGGAGGGGGAGGAGGAGGAGGAGGAGGGGGAGGAGGAGGGGGAGGAGGAGGAGGAGGAGGAGGAGGAGGTTGCGGGTCCTGGGGGCAGGTTCCGGGCCCGAGATGCGCGGGGTGAGGCTTGCGGCCTGGTCTGCAAGAGGGATCGCGGCCGCCCAGACCAATCGAATCTAGCCGGCATCGAGGCGAGAGCACGGCTCTCGAGGAAATCGTGGGGAGGCCTCGGGCGAAACGGCTGTTGGGCCGGGCGGTCTCGGGCTCCCCTCTCCCTGTGTGGGGTCCTGCTGTGGCTCCCTTCGGAGCCCTCGGCGAAACTGCACAAACGTAACCTGTCGAAGATCCACGCGGATACCTTGGATTCCGAGCGTGAATTACCTACCCCGCTTTCGCTTCCAGGCAAAACCAAGTCATACCACGCGCCTCCTCGTCAAGCGGCCTGACCAGTACTGGCTGCAATTTGGCATCGTTTGGTATCTCTTGGAAGCGAGGGTGGTCAAAAACGACGTAGGTTTGTTTTCCCCCTATGGATGTTCGCTGGGACCGCCCTGGCGGCCCGGCGCCGCCCGTGGCGCCTTCCGTGCGCCCGTGAGCGGAGCCCGGCCCCGATCCAAGACATCCGCGCCGACCTTCGAGAGGGTCTGTCGATGCAGCTCTTTCCCCGTCTGGAGCCGGTCTGACCGCGGGCGCCCGTGATTGAAAGGACAGGCGGCCGGCGAGTATCGGCCGGGCCCAGCTGATGGATGTGACTGCTGGGGAGGTTAGGAGCGATTGCGTGCGTTGGCGAAGCGTTGCATGCGCCGTGTGGCGGCGACTGCCAGGCAGGGGCCTGAGCGACGGGCATGCTTGGCAGCTGATGTGCCTGCCGTGACCACCAGGATGCGGATATAACGCGTGTCACCCGAACATGTGAGCATCTCCGTCGAGTCCAAGGGGGGGGGGATTGTAGCAGGTAGCAGAAGTCGCCAAGCGGGGACACGCAGAGGCGATACCGAGGAGGCCGACCCATGACGTTTATACAGCACCTTACGTCCACACCCTTCGCCCGCCAACGGCGTACAGCGATGCCAGTTGCAAATGCTATGCAAGTTGTCGATGAGTCCTCCCTGACTCCGTCTGACCCATTCTGCCGCCTCTCCTCCTTCCTCCCACTCCACTGGGCCATCCCGGGTCGGCCTCTCCTGGCTGCAGCAGGTGCTCACGCACTGCGAGTACACCGGCTACAATGAGCACGGCGGGTGCGTGGCGTTCGACATTCCGATGAACGCTCGGGCCCCGAACTCTCCACAGAAGGCGTCTCCAGTCAAGGCGACAAACGAGCAGCAACGCGAGGCGAGGCGGGAGCTCCTCGAAAGCGCTGCTGCTGCCGATGCGCCCTCGCGCTTCGTTCGCCTGCCAGATGCTGGGGCCGCCAGGGGGGCCCGCCGTTGCTCGAGGCCACGCTTGCACGGGGCTCGGATGAGTCCCTGGATGAGGCCTTGCCCGGCTTCCGTGGACCAGCGATCTCTTGGTCGGGAGGGAGGCGTGCGCAGGTGCACGGCGAAGCAGTTGTGCTGCTGTGCCCAGACATCCACCGTCTTGACACAACCAACGTGGACTGCCAAACAGCAACTCGGTGCAGGGCGGGCCCCGACGAAAGGGTTGGGACCTCCAGGCCTCCAGGGAGCCCGTATGGCATCGGATCTCTGGGTCCGTACGGGGACAGCTTGTTTGCTTGCGTCTGGCTCGTGTTCGCCTGTAGCAGTAATGCCGCAAGCGCCACGCGTATCCGCTCAGTAGATGCTTCAGCAGAGCAGGCTGCACTGTGAAGCGCCATGGTATCGCCAGAGGAGTCGCACCAGCAACAGTGGCGCAATTTCCACGTAGCTGTCGCCACGAGGTTGCGACGGCCGAGCCTTCCACGCCACGGACAGATCCTCTCACCAGCTCCTGGCATCGCTCGGACGTGTGCATTTTTTCTCGGCGAGAACCATCGAGGACCATCCTGGACCATCGAGCCGAAAATACACGCACGGAACCGACAAATGCACAAGGAATGGACGTCCGAGCGACGGCGAGAGCTCCCCTACCCGAGGATTTGGGACCAAGTCCGCCCCTGGCATTCGGCGCATGGTGCGCCCGAGGTTCGGCCACTGCCTCGTCCCAGGGCTGTGCTCCCGTGCCGTCCGAGCGCTCCCGCGCAGGGACGGCGCGGTGCGCCCCGGGCGTGCCGCCAGAGGACGCTGCGTCCGAGCACGCTGGCCCTCGGGTGCCCATGGGGCCGCGAAACGAGTGAGGGGTGTGCTGAAGCGGGCGTGGCGCGCACATGTGGAAGTCCCGATGTGGCCACGAAGCGTTCGAGGGGTGTGCAGGAACGGTGGTGACGCCCACAATGCGGACTCTGCCAGTGGGGCTGTAGGTGGAGCTGCCTATGGGGCCGCGAAGCGTGCGAGGGGTGTGCTGAAACGGGCGTGACACCACATGCGAACTGTGCCACTGGAGCGTTAGGTGGAGCTGCCTGTGGGCCACGAAACGTGTGAGGGATGTGCCGGAATGTTGGTGGCGCCCACATGTGGACCATGCCATTGAGGCCTCTGAGGTGGAGCTCCCTATGGGCCGCGAAACGTGTGAGGGGTGTACCAGGATCGGGGTGACGCCCACATGCGGACCTTGCCATTGGGTCTGTGGAAAGTGTTGGCCAAGGGCCGATGTCGATGGGGATGACGATGACGTTTGATGATGACGATTACGAGGTCGGTAATGGTGATGATGATGTTGATGATGATGCTGTTGCTGCTGATGATGATGATGACGCCAATGCCGATGACAACAATACAAACGAGGATATTGCTGATGATGATTGTGAAGCTGATGATGGTGATGTTGTTGTTGGTGTTGCGGTTGTGCTTGTTGTTGTCGTTGTTGTTGTGATTGCTGTTGCTGATGCCGATATGTTGGTTATTGTTGTGGTTGCTGCTGCTGTTGCTGTTGCTGTTGCCGTTTCTGTTGCTGTTGCTGTTGATGTTGCTGTTATTGCTGTTGTTGACGATGATGCTGATGGTAGTGGTGGCGATGCTGATGATGATGTTGATGCTGCTGGTGATGATGATGATGATGATGATGATGATGACGACGATGCTGCCGATGCTGACGATGCTGATGATGATGAGGATGGCGATGATGCTGCGGATGATGATACTAATGCTGATGATGATGCTGATGCTATGCAGAGAGCAGGGGTACGGACGGGAGGAAGGAGCGGGAGGTGGGAGTGAGACGCGGGGTGCTTCCTCTCCAATGCGAGGGCCCAGAGAACAAGAGCACGCGCGAAGGCGAACACCCGCACAGGGGGGATGGACGTCCGAGCGACGGAACGATTTAATTTCTTTTGGGGGCGCCGGAGACACCTTGCGCTGCGCGCGTCGCCGCTGGGGTCGGAGAGAGGCGCGCATCTCCAGGGCGGCGGCGCGAGAGCGCGACGGCGGCCGCGCGTCGCGCGGCCGTCGGGGCGCGATGCCCGACGACAGGTGGCCGAATCTTGTGAAGGCAGGTGGCCGAATCACACGGGCGTGCGGCGACCCGGCATTGATTTGTCGATCGGCGCGGGCCCGCGCCCCCCCCCACGGAGTAGATCTTGGATGTTTTTGGCGCCTGTTTCAAGCAGATGGAGTCTCCCTCCTAGGACGCACTGCTACAAGCAGTCGCGGTAAGCAGAGGTCCAGTAGTTCGGCGGCGAGCGAGGGCGAGCGAGCGAGGGGGGGAGTGAGAAGGGGAAGGCCTTCTCAGAAGGCGGCGGGGCTTCTCAGAAGGCCTCTGGCCTAAAGTTTTCTGCGTCTTCGGGAAAGGCTTAGGGCATTTCTCAGAAGTCCTGGGGGCTTCCGAGCCTTCCGAGAATGCCTTCTCTTTTTTTCTTTCCCCCGCGGGGGTTCGCCGCCGATTAGAGCATGAACACTATCCCTGCCTCCCTCGCTTCCTCAGGCCCTTGCCTCCGCTGGACGGGGGTGGATCTGGCATCGCCCCAGGGCGTACTACTCGTTCTATGTGTGCGTCGGCCCCCGAGAACGGCGACCCGCCCGTTCAGAAGTCTTACAGTCTGTGCTCGGTGGCGGGTGCTTTCTGGCAATGCCGCCTGGGCAACGCCGTGGATGACGACGCTGGCATGAGATTTCCCAGGCAGTGCTTGCACTTATGGGGTTTTGGTTTTCAGGGGCAACGATAGGGGGGGAGAGGCATAGGGGGGGATGCATCGATCCCCAATCGCCCATTGATCGCCGATAGGGGCACGATAGCCCCAACCCGCCCAGGAAGGTGCGGATTCACTATGGGGGGCCTATCGCCGATCTATCGGCTATGTATCGCCGATTTCATGTCGATGCATCCCCCCCATCTGCCAGTCCCCCCCTATCGTTGCCCCTCAGGTTTTTGGTCAGAGGAATTGGGCCTGTCTGGCGGTGTTGTGTCGTCGCCGTGGCCGCCACGTCGTGGCCTTGTCGTCGCCCGTCGTCTGGGCTTGGTTGGCGGTTGGCGGCTCCGTGGTCGCCGTCGCCGCTCCGTCGCTGCTTCGTCGCCGCCCCGTCGCCGCCTCAGCGCCGCCCACGTCGGTAGCATCACATCGATTCTCCTTCCAAACAGAGAATGTGGATCCCCCCCTCCAGGATTGCCCGCACCCCTGGGGAATGTGCAATTTACAGATGATTCTGGAATCCTTAAGAGAGCCATGGTTTTCTCAATAATTCCAGCACGTTCAATCAACTGGGCCTCTCGCGCGCGCATATCGAAATCATTCGATCGCCTTTGCGCGCGTGCTGTCGCGAGAATCCCTTGCAAGAGATGGGGGGAGTGCACGCGCGCGCGTCGTCGCGCGCATTCTGGAATGAATCAATCACCGAAGGTTCCGGAATAATTTCATACATCAGTGTCCCGGAATCATATTTCCAACATTGTTTTAAGCAAAATACATGCGCGCGCGCTCTTGCGAATTGTTACGGAGACCTCTGGTGTTTCTTCCAGTTCGTAATCACACGACCTAACGGGCCTCTCGCGTCGCATGCCGACATCATTCCAACGCCCTTGCGCGCGTGCTAGGGGAGGCACGGTCTGTTTCAAATCGTACCATGCGGGCCGCGCGCGTATGTCGAGCTCCTTCCAAAACCTTCACCACCCACGCGAGGACATCGTCGTCTTCGCCATAGGGCGTGATAAGCATCGGTGCCGTCATTGGCCTTGCCGTCGTCATCGCCACCACCGTCACTATCATCGGTACTATCATCACCGTGTCTGCCGTTGTCGACGTCGCCGTGATACCGCGTCAGCCCGAACCACCGACTGGCATCGAAGTGCCCGCGTCCCAGCGCGGCCTGTGAGACGCGCTGGGAAGCCCGAAGCTGTCAGCCCCACCGCGGCGGCGTCGGTCGCGCCAGACTAGCTGGCCGCTCTGCGCGCGAGCCTGCGCGTGCGAACGCGGCCGCAGCGAGGCGCCAGCAAACGCCAAGCACGCATCGCAATCGCCGCCTCATGAGTTTTGCAGGCCAAGTTGCGGGTGGGTGGGATGATTGCGCCAGCAGCGGCGCTCTGCGAACAATCATTAATTGCACCACGTCTGTTTTCCTACAAACAGCATGTCGGATCCACCACCCTCCCGAGGCTGGACTCAACCGTCCCCGTGGGAATGGGCAGTCTTCAAAAAGTATCCTGCCCCAAGTTCGACCCCAACAAACACGTTGCGCGCACACTCGTTCATAATCGTACGTTTTCAAGAGTTCGTTGGGAACAGAGGCACGACGTGCACGCGCGCGCGTCGTCGCGCGCGCACGCTTAAAACCAACAATACACCAAACCGCAGGGTTACACAGATTTCCAAATCTACCGTCCCGATCACATACACACAACACGTGGTTTTGCAACGTTGCTGTTCAAAAATATGCATGCGCGCGCGCTCATGCAAATTCTTAACAGGTGTAGTCGACCAGACGGGCCTCTCGCGCGCGCGTGTCGAAATCATTCCAGCGCCCTTGCCCGCGGGCTGGGGGGACACCATCCCTGTCAACGAATACCATGCTGGCCACTCGCGCCCGTCGGCCGTGCGCGCATGCCGAAATCATTCGAACGCGTTTGCGCGCGTGCTTGGGGGGCACGGTCCGTTTCGAATTATACCATTCGGGCCACTCGCGCGCGTCGGCCGCGCGTGCACGTCGAAATCTTCCAATCACCGTCATCACCGACGCGTGGATACCATCATCGTCATCGGCGTGGTCAGCATCGGTGCCGTCATTCGCCTTGCAATCGTCATCATCGTCGTCATGAGCATCGCTGCAATCATCATCGTGCCTGCCGTTGTCGACGTCGCCATGATACCGCGCCCGCCCGAGTCACCGACTCGTATTGGAGTGCCCGCGCCTCCGCGCGGCTTGTATGACGCGTAGGAAGCACGATGCGCAGGTCAGAGCCACCGCGGCTGCGTCGGTCGCGCCGGACAAGCTGGTCGCTCTGCGCGCGAGCCTGCGCGTGCTAGCGCGGCCGTGCGAGGCGCCAGCAAACGCCAGGCAGCCATCGCACTCGCCGCGCCATGGGTTTCGCAAGCCAAGTTGCTGGTGGGTGGGTGGGGTGATTGTGCGAGCAGTGGATTGACAACTCACGAGTCTGTCAATTGTACCACCTCTGTTGCCTCACATTGGTTGCCCCACACAAAGATCATGTCTATTGCACCACATAGATGGCACTGCATAGGGTGCACCACGCAGATTGATCGACACAGATCGCCCAACGCAGATTGCTAGAAACCCTTCTTGGGATCCGCGGTGGTTAACATGATTCGAATGTGGGCGTGCGCCTCCGAAGGGGGTCGCGTAGTACTGGCATGTCGTCCTTGTGCCGCCCATGGATCCCGCAGGCTGGCGCGGACACCACCACCGGTCGACCCGGAACCCGCATGCCAACGTGGATCCCGCAGGTCGCCGACAGACCCGGTCGCGAGCGTAGCAGCAACGAGGCGTGACCGCGGGCGGCCATTCTCCCTTCAGACACTCGGGGCGGCTTGGACACCACCACCCTGTCGCCCAGGGTCCCGTTCTTCTTTTCCGCGCCCGCCTTGTTTTACATCCGCGGCGCTGCGCGGCGTGTGCTCCCGCCTGCCCCCCTCCCTCGTGGGCGGAAGGGCGCTGGGAAGTGGAAGCGGAGGAGGAGGAGGTGGAGGAGGAGGAGGAGGCGGAGGCTGACGAGGAGGCGGAGGAGGAGGCGGAGGTGGTGGAGGCGCGAGCGGAAGAAGGATTACTGCAAACCCCAGACGCATCAACGATGATCATATGAACCCTCCGTCCAAGTTCCCTATTCATCGGTGTTTACAAGAATTTAACGTAGCACCCCGCAGATGCGGATAAGAGTGAAGGGGCGGTGGGGACGTCGGCAGTTTGCGAGACTCTGGAGAAACTCGCCGCAGGCGCCAAAGTTCCACAAAATATACAACGAGCTCGCCGCAGGCGCCGATTTTTTCGTTAAACCAATGTGGGTCGGTCGCGGCTGGGTCGCAAATGGGTCGCGGGTGGGTCGCGGGTGGGTCGATGTTGGGTCGCGGGTGTAGAGGGCAGAAAATCCACCGCATAGTAATCACCCCGACAAGCGAAGCCGTTGAGTAAACGCACAAGGTTTGAATCGAACAAGGCACGGCTGTTTAGTAAACGTCAATTGTCGGGTCCGGGTGGTTTTTCTTCCCTTGAGGGTGGGTCGCGGGGTGGGTGGCGGGTGGTTCGCGGGGTGGGTCGCGGATGGGTCGCGGATGGGTCGCGGGGTGGGTCGCGGGGTGGGTCGCGGCTTGGTCGCGGGGTGGATCGCGAGTGGGTCACGGGTGGGTCGCGCGTGGGTCGCGGGGTGGGTCGCGGGTGGGTCGCGGGGTGGAGTCGCGGGTGGGTCGCGGGGTTGGTCGCGGGGTGGGTCACGGGTGGGTCGCAGGTGGGATGACGACAACAAACAACAACAACAGCTAACAACAACACCAACAACCACAACGCAACAAGCAGAACTCCCACCACGAAGTTCTTATTCAGCTACGCACCCAGGGACAATGAATGACCGTTCGGCCCCCTCACTCTGACTTATTGTGGGACGTGCCCCATAAGAACACAAACGTCTGAGAATCGCCAGTCGTGCCCAAATGTAATGCTTGGGACATCAACGCCGCAAATCAAAGTGACCAGTGGGTGCTGACAATGTTGAAACACCGTTTCTGGGACGTCTACACTACGAATCAATGTGACGGTTGCGTCCAGATAGTCTTCAATCTTGCCAGAAGCTATACCTGGTGCTCCAACCCTACGAGGCATTGCAACTGCTTCAAATTCAAACTTCCAAGACGAGTGCGTGCGGAGCTAATGCGAGAGCAACACTTTGAAAACGAGCCGCCGTCCATCACTGAAGCTGCTGGAAACTTTCAAGACGAATGTGCGCGGTGCTGAAGCGAGAGCTACGCTTTAAAAGCGACTCGCCCTTCATCCTTCCAATGTTCGGAAACTTTGGAAACGCAGATGCGCGGCGCTCAGGCGAGAGTTGTATTTTGAAAACCACCTGCGCCCCATCATTGAAACTGTTGCAAATGTCAAGCTTCAGTTTCATAAGCTGTGAGGAGAACTCTGGGGGAACGCCCGACCCGCCCCGACACGTTTGGGGTTCGACAGGGAGGAGTTATTTATACGAAAATGATGCAGGTATCGATGCCGCTGCCCTATCTTCGTTCTCGCCTTTTTGGGCCTCTTGGGAGACCCTCGTCGCTACCGCTGGAATCGCTTCGAACCCTTGGTCAGAACGCACCCATGGAGAGGTCCGGGGAGTTGCTGTATCGGTACCCTGTGGTATCGCCAGAAGGGCGCGGGGATCGATCGTGGGTTGCTGAAGTTTTCCCTGGCCCAAGGTGTCACCAGCTTTCCGATACATTTTGGACCCTGGACCCTTCGGGCTCTCTGTCGAAGGAGAAGGGACTGTGAAAATTTAAACTTTCGGAGTTCCGAGCAGATTCCTTGGATCGGCGCTAGACCCTCACGTTTTACCAGCGACGGGCCCCGCTTCCATACGTTCGGTCCCAGACCTCCCAGCAGTGCTACGGATCGAGGGCGGCTGGTTTTCAAAGTGGTGTTCTTGCTTCAGGTCCCCTGTGTAAGACAGTGCAACCCTTATACGGATGGTGTGTGACTTGTCGAAGTAGTGGAGCTGGCTGGAGGATTCTTCATAGACTGCTTCCAGAAGGTGATTTATGGCAGCAGTTGCACGGATAGAGAACGGTTCCTTTTCGAAGCGGGGATCTCGCACATGGCATATATTATTGGGGATTGCTTGAGGGGACTTACTTGTCAGATCCTCGATGTGGGGACCTCCCAGCAGTCACTTAATGTATCTGTTCGACTCAAATTCGACTCAAGTTCGACTCAAGTTTGACTCCGGTTCGACTCCAGTTCGACTCAAGGCCTCCTCAGACCAGCGTCTTCATGATTTGGTTTCACTGTTGTGCCCTCCTCGTCCTTCCCCTTCCTCCTTCTTCTCCTCCTGCGCCTCCGCCTGAGATGAAGCATGACAGCCGAATTGCCGTTTCGGTTTCGGGCGGCGTCTTGGCGGCGATATCGTCGCGTTGCAGGTTGTTGCCGTCCCTACTTTTCCGGGTCCTTCTCCTGCGGCTTGTGCGTGGTGCCAGTTCGTTTGCTGGGGTTGTCGTTTTCCGTTGCGCTGTCAGGTAGGCCGTATTCTTGTTTTGTGGCCTCCACTGGTCAAAAAAAGAAGAAGGAATGGTACAAGGACGAATGAAGAAGGGGGTGGAGGAGGAAAGGAGGAGGAAGACGCATAACAGGAAGGTCTGGAATGTGGAAAGTGGTGGAAAGGAAGGGGGAACGCAGATGAACAAGGCGGGGTGGGGAGGAGGCGGAAGAGGAGGAGGAGGAGGAGGAGGGGGAGGAGGAGGAGGAGGAGGAGGAGGAGGAGGAGGAGGAGGAGGAGGAGGAGGACGACGGTCGGGAGGGCGGCATCATAATGGGTAGGACTTTTTTTTCTTTTTCTTTACTGGTTAATATACTTTTTTCTTTTTATTCAAGGATTTTTTTTTCTATTTTTTTTTTTTTTTTTTTCTTTCTGTTTTTATTATTATTTTTTTTTTTTTTTTTTTATTTCTTCGTTTTATGTTTTTTTTTTCTTTTTTTTTGTTATTTTGGGTTTATCTTTTTTATATTTTTTGTTGTTTTCTTTCTTACTATTTTTTTATTTGTTTTCTTTTTTTTTCTTCCTCTTTTTTTTCTTTTCTTTACAGGCATGGGCAGGAGGGTCGCGAGGGCCGAGGGTCGGGCGCGGCTCGCTTGCTCTCTTGCCGCCTCTCTGGGGGATAGCGAGGGGAACGCGGACGGGGAATGCAACGACAAGGCAGATAATAAATGCATCGGAGGAGGGCGGGGTGGGGGGGCGGAAAGGGGGGAGGAAAAGGGAGGAAAGGGAGGAAGGGGGGAGGGAGAAAAAGGGTGGGGGAGGGGGGGAGGAGTGAATAAAAGAGTTGTGCCGACGAAGAAAGGGAGGAACGGCGCCGATATTGTTGGACGGCTTGGAGGAGGAGGAGGAGGAGGAAGGAGGAGGAGGATGGAGAGGAGGAAGAGGAGGAGGAGGAGGTGGAGGAGGAGGAGGAGGAGGAGGAGCGAGGGAGGCCGACGAGGGGGAGCGAGGAGTGAAGGCGGAAAAGGGAGGATGGAGGAGGAGGAGGACGGGGAGGAAGGAGGAGGAGGAGAGTTAGTGATGGAGGAGGAGGAATAGGAAGAGGAGGAATGAGAGGAAGAGGAGGATGGAGGAGGTAAGAGGAAAAAGGGAAAAGGAGGAGGAGGGGGGAGAGGAGCGGCGGGTACAAAAATGGGGCGAGGAGGAGAGAGGATGGAGGAGGAGGGGAGGAGGAGGGAGAGGAGGAGGACGAGGAGGAGGAGGAGGAGGAGGAGGAGGAATACGAGGAGAGGGGAGGGGGGGAGGGAACAGGCAGTTTGCGGGCATGCGGTGGCGTAGGTGGTTCGGAAAGATGCGCCACCCGCCTCTGCCCCAACCTGCGAGAAACGGCCTCGACATCGAGGAATCGAGACGTCGGCTTCCCCTGATCGGCGGATGGCGGTGGAAGGGCCGTGGAAGCCAGTGGGAGTAAGTCGATGGAGGACGCGCAGGCGGAAACCGGTGGAATTGCGGCGGAACCACATGGAAGTAAAGCGTGCCCCCCCCATGAAGCGTCGCCCTGCGAAGCGACTGGAATGTTCCTTCCCGGCGCGACGATTTTCGCCATGTATTTGCCGGCACCTCCAAGGCACAGGTCCGATCAATATCTTACGAGCTGTCATTGAGCGTGTCCTCCAGATTTCTGATTTGGGGGGCGCGTGTGGTTTGCAAGGCCAACTGCGCACGGACTTTTTCCAACAAGTAGACGCATGTTGGGCTCGATGCGTCTGGGGGCTATATATTCGGCTTCGCGAGAAGCTACGTACGAAATGACAAAGACCGCACACGCCAATCGCTGCAAACGCGGCGGCGGATTTGCCTGCGCCATCGTGGTTGTATTTCGTGTGCGCCAGCTCTGTCCAAGTATCTGGCCGTGCCAGCAGTTTCTATGGAATGCCCATCGAAGGGCGATCACTGGTGTCATGGCGATTAACGGATTAATGCCAAGCCGAGCGTTTTACGTTATGCCAGTTCGGTATTGTGAGCTACAGGTAAAGTTTCTCTCGCACGTCCACGACCACCACCACTCCCACTGCCACGTCCACCAAGCAATACCGTAAATAGTACCGCAAACATTCCAACCGTGCTACGGCACCGTGAATTCCACTTCTGTCGGCGCCATGCCCGCCACAATTAAACCCGCCTCTTGAATGCCACTGTTAGTGCGGCGACAAAGGAACCTGCACCATTCGTTACACCTTCGTCGCCAATGCCATCATCGTCACAGTCCGTGCGTCCACTGAAAGTGCCAGTGGTTTTTGCCATCGCCGTTTCCACTACAGGCGCCGCTGCCAATGCCATTGCATTTACCACTACCACTACACAGTGGAACAACCGCTCACCACTACCACTACCCAGTGCAACAACAACTGCCACTACCACTACACAGTGCAATCCGCATGACCTTCTAATCACTTACCATTACCCTTACCACTACCGCTACACTACTACCCTAACCTCTCCCGCTCGCTCCTCCAACCTCCCCCCCTCGACGTTGGAGGAGTTGAATGATCTGGAGGGGTTGGAAGGGCTGACGGATCGCCAGAGGCGCTTCGGACTGCGCCGAAGGAGAGAAGGTTCACCGGCTGGCCGTGGCGTGGGATTGTCGCTGCGTGGCGCGAGGCTGTGTGGCGCAAGGTTGCGTGGTGCAAGGATGGAGTGGCGCGAAGGCTGGCGCAGTCAAGCGAATGTAATTGCGCTTCAGGATATATGAGGATGAGGAGGCCTATCCCGCTTAGCCTTTCCCCCACTCCTTCTTCCAAACTCCGTATCGCCATTCGGTTCGACTATACTGTTCGACGGCTCCTGGATAACCGCAACTGCATGCGCCTACCGCGGCATCCACGTTCGCAAATGCGAACATTCACAATGCCAAATGGCCAAACGCCAACAAGCATGGCAGCCAGTTTTTGCCACTGCCATTCGCGTGACCACTACCACCAGTACCAGCGCCAACATTTGCGCGAACCACATTGCAACGCGTCGCACCAGTTACCACGACATGCCCTAATTTCCGAGAGTGCTCACTCACCACCAGTGCCAGCGCTGACCGTGCATTTTCCTATAACTTTGCCTCGTCCAATCATGTTGGCCTTGGTCTCGTTCGTCCGTAGCCAAGGTGGCTCAGGGTGGCCTCAATTGCCTTGCGGGCCATTACTCAAGGGCAGAAAAAAAACACTTCGACCCTGGTATACGAGGCGCTGTGCTCTGAAACTCCTGTGGGCTGACAGGGTGAACCCTGCGTGATGTGCCGCGCCCTGGCGGCTCTAGGCTTTGGGGCCCCCAGGAGGTTTACAGGCCACGCGCTTGTAATCCAGGGTAGGGTCGTTTTTTTCATCCCTCGAAGTGCTTTCGTAGCATATGAACAAACTTTCGAGGGTTGCTCTCGCATTGCGCACAGGCCTGCTCAAGTTCCAAACTGCCGCTGCTGACCTCAATGGCGCGGCCCGGTCCAAGTCCGCGGCCAAGGCGTTGATCGAAGCGTTGTCGGCCGAGTTCGAGGTGCCAGACGGGAGGTCGAAGAAGCGGGTTCGAGATTCCGAGGCCTGGGCAAGCATGAGGAAGAAAACCAAGCATTGGAAAACCCAAGCGAGGCGCCACAGAAGTGAACTGAAATGTCTTGTCAGGGCCAAGCACGCTTGGAGGATATCGAATCTTTAGAGGGTGAAAATAGCCACGTGTCCCCCGAGCGTGCCGTGCCAGACGTTTGAGAAATTCTCCCGTGACTTCCCAATCGCGGAAGTCCAGAACGTGTCAGCAACCTCGATTGCGATAACAAGGGATGCGTTTGCCCAGGTGCTGAAAAAAATCAACCACGATGTCATTGCTGCGCAGTCCAAGGACGCAAGTCGCACCCTGAACCGCGATGGGCAGGAGACGTCTTGTTTCGTCGTGGTGCACGTGCACGATGAGGCAGCTATGAAAGTGAAATCTTTTGATTTCGACGGGGCTTTTCGGCCTGAGCTACAGAACAGAACTGTCGGGCGATACTCCAAGGTGCAAAATCAGGCGGTCTGCGTCGATTTTGGACAGGCGCGGGTGCCAGTGCTCACCGAGCTGATGGGCATGTCCGTCAAGGACGCGCCCACGATTGCAGAATGTCTAATCCAGGTGTTCGAGAGCATTGCCCGTGCCATCAAGGATGGGTGCCCGCGCGCCACCGTCCGCATCGTCCACGTCGTCATTGGCGATGCCGCTGCCACGAACGAGGCGGCTTGCAAACGGCTGTTTGCTTTCCTCCATGCTGCGGAGCGCCAGCTGGGGATCAGATATTATTTGGTCGTGGTCAAATGCGCAGCTCATCAGGCAAACTTGGTTGTGCAGTGCGCCATATGTGGCCAATGTTTACAGGACCCGCTGAACTCAGACGCGCTTTGCGCTGCCGCTTCCAGGGCGTTTAAGTATGTGATTCCCGGAGCGCGCGGAAGAAATGTCCGCGACCCTCCGGGCGTCCATATTGAGCCGAATGCACATGGCAGGAGACGGGACGGATGCCGCGTCGCAGGAGATGTGCCGGCGTTCGCTTCAATTGCAAGAGCTCTACGGCCACGGCGTCATACCACCATCGTTGTTGACGATTTGAATCGAAGCGTCCTGGCTATGGAACATTGCTCCTCTGAGGAGGCGGATAAGGAAAGCGTGTGTGGTGACCTTTTTCAGATATTGCTTCCCCTGGTGCTCAAGATTCAATCGAAGCCTATAACGACACGTTTTTTCTTATTTGCGCCTGCTGTGTGGGCCCTCCTTTTGATGGATATGTTGGGGTTTGGCAGAGACTTGTTTCCAGAGCAGAAGGGGCGCCTTCGGACCCGGGGCGCGAACCGCATCAAGGCAATGCGGGCTTTTTTCTGCCATCCACAGACCTCCTCGGACCTGCGGAAAGCGTCGCTGCGTTTACAATTGAGCCACCACGCTGTCAGCATGGCAAGCCAGAGCAAGCCGAAGGTGGACGACCCAAGACCACACTTCGTGAGGATTGCGCAAGGAGACATCCAAAAACACACGGGGGAACATCTGAGGCGATTGTTGCCCTTACTGTGCGTGGACGAGAAGCTCGTTGTTCCCGCATGTTTGACGGCTTTGCTTGTGACGCAAGCGCACATTGTCATGCGGTTTGATATGTATGGGCGCTTTCCAGGGAAGTTGTGGATGATGTCTCGGCGGCACAATCCCATGGGCTACTCCCGAAAGTGCGAGGAATTCTTGCAGGTGCCCGACGACGACTTAGACTTGGGCTACTCTCTGGCGTTGAAGCGGGAGGCCTGGCGCTGCAGGAGCCTCAGCGACGCAGCGATGTGGTTGATGGCAGATGAAGTGCAGGAGGAAATCGACGAAGTGCTCGGTTCCATGTTGGCCAATAGTCTTGACGCGGAACGAAAGATTCATCAGGGCAGGACGCCAGACCATGCGAAGGCGAGGTCGTTGGCGGTAGCATCGCGGAATCAGCTGCTCCACCAGTACCATGTCGAGAGGGAGCGTTTCCTGGCCTGCAGGATGCGGGCGGCCAAACAGGCGTCTTCGTTGAAGAGATGCAATATCTGGTCGCTGGCTCGGCAGAGATGGCCGCACTTAGTCCCTCGGCCAAGGGGCTGTCGTTACGGTGATGATCCGCTGCGGAATGGTGTTCTTTCTTCGACTCTTGTGCACGAGGGCGATAAGGATGCGTTGCGGTCACAAGTCGAGGCGCACACAGCCGACCTGGAAGCGGAAGTCGCAGCCCGACAGGGTGAGGCTGCCCGCTTGGCCCGGCTGGCCAACGCGGCGCACGTTCCTGTGACGCAGCGGGACTGGCT